TTTTCTTCCCATGCCTGGTCCATACCTGACTGGTGACTCTGCCAGGAGTACCCCATCTAGTGATGTTTCTCATCCTGGCTGAGCCCCAGCTTCTCTGTTCTACTCCCGACTTCCCCGAGAGCAGAGAGTGTGCCGAAGCTGTGCAGGCCCTCGCCACAGCACAGCGTAACTGGTACAGAGAAGCCAGGCTGTGACCTTGGGATGCCAGTGTGCCCCTTCTATCAGCTCATCAGATTTCCTCCCCTGGTAGAATTTAGCATCAACAAATTCCAGCCCACACTCACAACGGTTAAATATTTACCAGCCTGGCATTTGGTGGGGGATAGTCAGTCTTTAGGAATGCTTCAGACTGGCCCTCTCCAAGCAAAGTCATAGACCTCCAAGGGAGGGAAGGGAAGAAACACAGGCTTGGGGTGCTCCCTTTCCCCGGAGGTCTCTGTTCTCTCTCCAACACCCCCAGCTGGCCTGTGCATTGGAATGTCCGCCAAGGGAAGGCTCTCACATCATGCCCGCTTCTGTCGTTTGGAGCCCAGATGGGCACTAAAATGGAGTAACTGCACAAGTGGGCTGGGAGGAAGATCTCCAAGACCCCTCCTGCCTGCTGCAGCCCTGCCTGCAGGTCCCTCACTCAGTAGAGTGGTTTTGGCTCTGAACTAATCCTGTTCTCGTCTTCTTTAGGAGCATAGCTAAACATATTGACTGCTTGGGTTTTGATTGTCTTCATTTGTGGGCTTGGGCATTACATGCTTCTTCCCACCTTTGGTTTGACTACCAGGGAGCTCCAAGGGGTGCATCCCATGGTTTGCCTGCTCCAGACGACTTCCTGAGTTCTAGGTCTCTTCCGTCATGTTTGTTGGGTGACCCTAGCAGTACGACTGGCCATGGCTCACTGGGAGTGCTCAGTTAGAATGAGCTCTGCTGACACAGCAGCGTCTTAGACAGCAGTGTTGATGAATGCTTACTTGGACAAGCCAAGGAGTATGGGCTGGCTCTTGAGCTTCTCCCAAGACCACTGTTGAGTCCCGCTGTCCTATATCTCTTCCCACAGTGCTCGCCATGGCCCGACGTCGCCTACCAGGTGAACAGTGCTCCATCCCCAAGCTACAATGGCTCCCCCAACAGCTTTGGCCTTGGTGAAGGGTATGTCCAGCCTTTCTTTCCTTGGGGTCCTGGCATGTGGTGGGGTAGAGGTTCCTTTTTTGGTTTTCCTTCATTCCATGACCTGGCATCTTATTTGGGTTTTCATGTGGCTAACTGGTATATCAATTGTAGCCATATTCATCTATTCCTTACCTGCTCCCCATGTTGGGGGTGCGATCCAGGGCCTGGTACATGCTAGGCAAGAGCTGTGCCACTGAGCTGCATCCCCAGCTCCCGTATTTAGCTTTGGGTCTTTGAGGGCAGGCTTGTATATGGCCCAGGTTGAACTTGAGTTTGTTGGTTAGCACAGGCTGGCCTTGAACTCAGAATCCTACTTTTTCGGCCTTTTGAGTGCTCGGGTTCCAGGTGTATGCCATCCCACCTGGCTGTGTGCAGTGTGTGTGTGTGTGTGTGTGTGTGTGTGTGTGTGTGTGTGTGTGTGTTCTTTTTTATATACTTCCACAAGTGGCAACAAGTTTGTGAGAATTCACCTAGAACACCAGTGTTCTCCTGAGGTGGGTGCTGGATGGCTGAGGTATTTAGAAGGTCCTCCTTAGTTCTCTCTCTACCTCTTGTGCATGCTTCCTGAAGGGACTGTCTACATAAGAGCCTCCAACCCTGGGTTTCAGTGTTTGTAGCACCAAAACTAGTTTTGCTGAACCTTGGCTGACTCTACAAATAGGCCATGTGGCCCCAAGACAGTGACAGGACAGTGCAGACATCGTAGGCAGATTCTGACTGGCAGGCTGTGCAGACATGACGGCTTTGTAGTAATGTCCTGGTAGTGAGCAGAGGACTCCAGCCCGGGTGCTGTTAGTGAGCACAGAATCTCTGTGTTTTGTGCCTGGAGCTCCTGCTCAGCCATCCATCTGTAATAAAAAGTCGGGGTTGGGGGATGGAGCTGAGCTCATTGGTAGACGAAATGCCTGGTTTGATCTCCAGCACCCGCTGTGGTGGCTGGCACCTGTAATTCCAGCATTCTGGAGGTAAAGGAAGAGGATCAGCAGTTCAAGGTTCTGTAGCAAGTTCAAGGCCAGCCCAAGCTAAAGGAGATATGCTCAAAGGCAGACAGACATACAGACAGAAGAAAAAGCAAGGCTGCCTGTGTGTGAGCTTAGTTTTACCATTGTGAAATGTCTTCTCAAGAGTATAGAACTGAAAGAAAAGGTCATTTAGATCAGGCAGACTTGTTCTTTAATGTCTACCTTCTGGGGAGCGACTGTCTTACCTTCCCTCAGCCCTGCTTTCCCCGATGCAGAAGAGGGTTAGGGGTTCAACACAGGGTCATGAGGAACGATGTACCTGTGATACAGAAATGGAGTGGCTGCTGGGGAGATACCTGGGATGAGCGTCATCTCTGCAAGGGGCCTGTATGTGCCTATGCATGTGTGGGTATGCATGTAGAAGCCAGAAGTTGATGTCAGGCATCTTCCTCAATCATTCTCTTCCTCACTTTTGAGCCAGGGTCCCTAATTGAACCTGGAGTTCTCTGACTTGGTGAGCCTGGCTGACTGGTGCTCTCCAGTGATGCTTCTGTCTCATTTCCCAGGACTGGGATTAGAGGCATGCCTTGCTGCACCAGTGTGTGTGTGTGTGTGTGGGGGGGGGGGGTGTTGGGACTTGAACATGCTTGCATGCCAAGCACTTCTGTACCTTCCTATTGGGAAAAACCCAGGCCATGTTTTTCTTAAGTAGGTACCAACCTGTGGATTCAGCACAGTGGCCCTTATGTGCCTCTCTGGTTATGATTTGGTTGATGATTTGGGTCCAGCTGCAGCTTCCAGATTCAGGTCCAGGAGCTGAAGTACTGGAAGGAGTGTGGCCTGTGTCCTGGTTAGCTTGTCCTTTCCTTAGGCTGGAACTTGGGTATTTTACCTATTTCCTTGCACTGGGACAAAAATTCTTGATAAGAAGTGACTTAAGGAAGGATTTATTTCAGCTCACAACTCACGGAGATACAGTCCATTGCTGTGCAGAGAAGCCATGGCAGCAGGAGCATGAGGCAGCTGGTCCATTTAGGATGTAGGATGCAGAGATGGATGTTGTGCTCAGTTCCTTTTCTCCCTTATAGTCAGTCCAGGACCCCCGCCCATGGGATGCTGCCGCCCATGTTTAGAGTGGGTCTTCCCACCTCAGTCAGCTTGATGTTGAAACTCACCCTCAGACATGCGCACAGGTTTGTTTCCATGGTGATTCTAAACCCTACCAAGGTGAACCATCCCAAGGGGTGAGGCTCCACCATGCAGCACACATCCAGTCGCAGTGGACGAGCTCTTCTTGGTTGTTGCTGCAGACTACACAGGTAGAGTTATTGTTGCTTGAACAATGGTGCAGTCATCGAAACCTCCCATGCAGTGATAGTTGAGTTCAGGAGACATCATGAGAGACCGGGTCTTGTTTGTCTATCTTATGTCAGTCAGTCTTCCAGGACTTACTTTTAAAGCAAGTCACACACCTTCGGGAATGTAGGCACCACGTAGGTTCTGGAACCTTCTTCGTGTCCCTGGAAGCCCTCAGGCTCACCTCCCTTCTCTTTTCCGTTACAGCAACAGCTCACCTACCCACCCAGTGGAGCCCTTACCCCTGGGCAGTGATGTAAGTGTGCGCGGGTGCTGGCGGGCTGGCGGTCCCTCTGGCTCTGTGGCCATTTGAGCCTCCTTTCTCTCGCCTGCAGCATCTGCTCCCCTCAGCCTCTATCCAGGATGCCCAGCAGTGGCTGTACCGCAACCGCTTCTCACAGTTCTGCCGGCTCTTCGCCAGCTTCTCAGGTGAGCGTGGTGCAGTCAGGTTTGACAGCCAGAGGTGTCCTGCCTTACTCTTGGTCCCACAGGCCTGTGGCTTGTCCAGGGAAAGTGGCTTCCCTTTCTTACAGCTTGCAGATGTCCCTAGACAATCCTTGTCAAGTTCAACTTGCGGAGCTGTTTGAGTGACGGTACTCAGATCCTCTTAGCTGTCGGTGCGGCTGGGCCCTGCCCTGCCCAGGTAGGGCTCTGTATCGGTTCCTCTTCTCATCGATGTGGCAGAATACCTCAAAAGCAACTTACATGGGAAGGGCAGGGGAGTCCTGCAGCAAGAGCGTCATCCACGGTATAGAAACCGAGGTGGATGCTGGTGCTCAGCTCCCTTCCCTTTTTTATTCAGTCCAGAAGCCCAGCCCGTGGGATGGTGCTGCCCACATTCGGGGTGAGTCTTCCCACCCTAGTTAACCAAATCTAGAAACTCCCTCACAGGCATGCACAGAGGTTTCTCTCCTAACTGAGTGTAGATCCTGTCAAGTTGACAGCATTAAAAACCACAGGCCCTCTTAGCCAATCAGGGCAGCTCATACCTGTCATGTGGGCCCTGCATGTTTCCTCCAGGCCTATCCCCTGGAGTTGGAGGTGAGCCTTAGGCAGGAGAGAAAACCTGCTTTCCTTCCTCTCTGAAGGCTTTCTGAGGATTTGGCTGGGGGACGGCCCACTGATGAACGTTGTAAGTGGGGTGCTGCAGGTACAGAGGTGAACAAGGCCCTGGGCCTGACCACTCAGCAGTGAACCCCAATGGAGGGGAGTAAAGGTCCCTCCCAATGTGGGGAGTTGTCGGCAGCAGAGGGAAGAAAGGAATCGCTAGTTGCCTCAGCTTTATCTCCAAGAGCATTCTTTTTTTTTAAATTATTTATTTATTTATTTATTTATTTATTTATTTATTTATTTATTATGGATACAGCACTCTGCCTACATGCATGCTTGCAGGCCAGAAGAGGGTACCAGATCTTATTACGGATGGTTGGGAACCACCATGTGGTTGCTGGGAGTTGAACTCAGGACCTCTGGAAGAACAGTCAGTGTTCTTAACCTCTGAGCCATCTCTCCAGCCCCCCAAGAGCATTCTTAATGAGAGGTAGAAGTGCAAGGACAACCGGGCACCTGTGCTGCCATGGGAACTGGCCACTTAAGTGCACTGTGACCTGTGCTGGGTGAAGGAGGGGAGACATGGCTCCTGGGACCTACGCTGGGCAAGGGAGGGGAGGAGGGCTTACCCAGGGGTCCTTGAGTGCTAGAGAGAGCTGGGGGGTGGTAGGGGAGAGCTCTGCCAGCAGAGAGAAAGTGCAGAGGCTGTGAGGTAGGTGAACTGAGGAAGCAGTGAGGTCAGGTCACCAGGGGGAGGCGGCCTGGATTCTGGTAGGACCATGGGAGGATATTGGCTTTTAGTCCCAATACAAAGCCAACCATTCTGGACTGGAGCTGGAGCTCAGTTAATAGATTGCTTGCCTGGCATGCACAAGGCCCCAGCACCACATAAACTGGGTGCAGTGTGCTCAGGAGGTAGAAGAATGAGAAGTTCAAGCCCACCCAGGGTTACATGAAACCATGTCTCAAAGAAAAGAAAAAGCGGGGGCCGGATGCAGGGAAGGAGCCATTGTGTCCGCAGAGCTATTCCAGACATCACCTGAGATAGAGATAATGGAGGAGAGACAGAGTGACTGGAGACCCCTGGGAATCTGGAATCTGGGGACTCAGTCTTTAAAGACGTCACACTGTGGCCATCCTTACTAACCGTCATTCTCCTCTCTTCCCATGAGACACTGGCCTCCTCTTCCCTTCAGTGGGTTGGCAGGTCTGTCCGTGTGTCTTGGGCTGAGCTAGTCCTCAGAGTCTGTCTGTCTTGTCAACCTGCAGCGAGCTGTATGCTTCTGCACAGAGACACACGCGGGTCATTGGTGGTAGCGTGCTGACCAAATCTGCGCACTCTAGTGCTGATGAGCACGGAGAGCGGGGTGGGCTCATTTTGTCCTTTGACTTGTGAGCACACAAGCTTTTAGCTTCTGACGTCGTATGGCTGTGACCTTCTGCGTCTATGTCTTATGTCATTTCTCCTTGTGGAAGGTTTAGTGCCCACTGAGCATGAGGCTGGCCCTGCTTTGCCCAAGCCCTGCTGTGGGGTCAGCATGTATACACCATGTGACTGGTGGTGTGTTGTTAGTTGTTTTTTAGCCTTTTGGGGGGCCTGCCACCCAGCTCCCAAATAAATCACACGTGGAGGCTTATTCTTAATTATGAATGCTCGGCCTTAACGTGACTTATTGCTAGCCAGCTTTTCTTAAATTATCCCTGTCTACCTTTTGCCTCTGGGCTTTTCCAGTTCTCTTACTTAATACTCTGTGGTTGGCTGGGTGGCTGGGTGGCTGGCTCCTGGAGTCCTCCTCTTTCTCTGGCTCCTTTTTTCCTCCCAGATTTCTCCTACCATCTATTTCTCTCTCCTGCCTCGCTGTTGGCCGTTCAGTTCTTTATTAGACCATCAGGTGTTTTAGACAGGCAGAGTAACACAGCTTCACAGAGTTAAACAAATGCAACATAAACAAAAGAAACACACCTTAAAATAATATTCTACAACAGTGGTGGATGTCTCCACTTAGGTGCTGACCTGCTGAAAATGTCCAGAGACGATCTGGTGCAGGTCTGTGGTCCTGCAGATGGGATTCGGCTCTTCAATGCCATCAAAGGCAGGTAGGTGTCAGTTTCAGACCAACCAGCCAAAGACTCTGGGCTGCCTGTGTATAGCAAGAGAGAAGCCCACCTCAGCCTCTTGAACTGTGGCTAAGCCTGCTAGTGGGACGAGCTGATGGAAGGAATCTCTCTTTTGGTGTGGGGGTGAATACTGGAGGAGGTGTTGGGAGGGATGGGACAGTGAACGAGATGCCATGTGGAGATCACTCAACTCCTGGCTGCAGTGGTCCTTGCTCAGACATACCTCAGTATTAGTTAAGTTTTCCGTTGCCATGACAATGTGCCCGACAAAGGCAGCTTATGAAAAGAAAGGCTTATCCTGGCTCATGGTTCGAAGGCATGGTGCCATGTCCAGTGCAGCTCAGGGGACGGACCAGATGGCGGCCGCTAGGGAATGAAGAAAGGACAGACACATACAGGAGAGCTGGGTTCAGATAGACTGGGTTCCCTGACGATGGAGGAGGCTCAGTGTGCTCATTAGAGCTGAACAGCGAGGTGGGGTTATGGCGTGCCCCTGAACAAGGGTTAGTACATACAGGTAAACAGGAAGGAGGTTTTATGGTGTACAGCTGAATGGGGATGATTTAGCTAATCTCAGTATGAACAGTCTCTGTAGGGGAGCAGTCTTCAGGCCATAAATATCAAGGGGGTGGAGCCATGTGGATGTTTTCTGAACCCACTATCAAATATTCACACATGGACTCTGAACCTCACTCCAAGGCAAGGCTTTGCCACTTTCCCATGGGTCTGAGGTCCTTGGCATGGCCTGGTCATGGCAACAACACACATTCACCCAGGACTTCCCACCCTCGGGCCTTCCTCCACTCCCCACAGTGCTGTCCATCAAGGAGGAAGCCATGGCCGCAGTGGGGGAGGTCGCTGGTCCCGTTGTGTCAGGAAGCAGAAAGAGAGGAATGTTGCTGCTTCAGACTGCTTTCTTCCTTGTGTGGGGTCTGAGACCCCAGTTCGTCAGGTGGTGCTGCCTACATTAACGGTGGGGCTTCTGACCTCAGTTAACCCCATCTGGAAACGCCCTCTCTCACAGAAGTCTGCCTCCTACATGATTCCAGATCCTCAATTAATATTAACTATCACAACCTCCCTCTCTTCCACTGGACCCAGAGCCTGTGGATCTTGGCCTTTAGTCACTGGCCCAGACTCTGAACACTTGCAGAGTCCTGACTGAGAGCTGACTCCCCAGGGGCGGGGTATGGCCTTGAAAACCACAGTGCGGTTTTCAGGGCGATGTTGTCTGCAGAACTCTCCACCACCACGGACATGAAATGGTCTATGATAGTCCAGAAACCTCTAGCCACGTGGGCCCCTGTACAGTGGCACTGGAATTAGCATCACAGTCAAACCAAATTTAAGTGTTTGCTGCAATGTTGTGCTCTTTACTTTTTCTGGTGCTGAGACTAGAACCCAGAGCTTGTGTATGCCAACAAGTGCTCTGTCGTTGAGCTATACCTGAGCCTTAAGGTTAAAACAGAGCAGCCAGCTGGGTATAGTACAGTTGAAAGTAGAGAACACAATGGAGGGTGAATCCCAGGTCTGCCTCCTTGGAGCTGTGCAATGAAAAAAAAAAAGCCATTTGCCCCCCTAAGCCCCAGTTTTCCTGTATGTGGAGTGGAGAGGAGCCTTGCTCACTCTCGTGAAGGACTCTCTGCCTCTTTTCTTCTCCCCTTTGGGGGGTGAAACCCAGGGCTGCACACATGCCAAGCACATATTGTACCACCAAGCTACACTCCATGCCACCTCTTGAGATTCAGGGCCACAGAAAAGCCTCAGCTTGGCAGGTCGCAAAGAGTCATCTACCCCCTTCCTCCAGAACAGCCTGTATGAAGCCATAAAGATCCATCAGGACTGGATTCTATTCCTGAAAACATGTCCCTGAGAAGCATGCTGCATCCCTACCACCTGCTTCTTTTCTAAATCCCTCCAACCTGCAAATTCTACTCTAGGTTCTGGAATATTCTAGAACATTCCAAAATACTGTAGAGCAACATTCCATCCTATCTGCTAACTATTTCCTCTTCTTTTGCCAGGAATGTGAGGCCAAAGATGACCATCTATGTCTGCCAGGAGCTGGAGCAGAACCAAGTACTCTTGCCCCAGAAGCAGGATGGCAGTGGAGACAACAGCCTGTGTGGTGAGTGGAGCAGAAGCCTGCAGCCAGACTCCCGAGCCTGCTCAGTTTCTGCTCTCAGTGTTTTAGTGACATTTGTCTTCGCTGTGAAGGAAGTTTGTTAGGCCTCACAGTCTGAGGGCATAGTCCCTGTGGCAGGGACGTCATGGCCGTGAAAGTGTGATGGTCATGTCACATCCACAGTGAGGAAGCAGAGAGGAATGAAAACTGGGGCTCAGTTGGCTTTCTCCCCAGCACCCTCTAATTGTCCTTAAATACCCTTCTGCCGCCAGAAGCCACTGCGTAACCCCCGGAAAGGTGTCATAGCGCTCTCTCCTCCCACGGTGCAGGATACATGCACACCAGGCACCACATCGGAATTCCATTGCTCCTCTAGGTCCTCCCCTCCCCTAGCTGGGTGCCTTGGGGTCTGGTTGGGTCCAGGATTCAACATATGTGCCCAGGAGAGACAGAAACAGCCAGCCTGTGCTTACTTGTCAATAGGCTCCACCAGCCTTCTCAGCTTCCGACAGAATCCATGGCTCTGGGCGTGAGCATCCTTACATGTGAGCTCTTGGCTTCTCAGGATGGGGTAGGGACACATAATCAGGTTCTTGTGTCCTTAAACGAAGGCGCTTGCTCCTCCCTAGTGTACCACGCCATCTTCCTGGAAGAGCTGACCACCTTGGAGCTGATAGAGAAGATCGCCAGTCTGTACAGCATCCCCCCACAGCACATTCACCGGGTTTATCGGCAGGGCCCCACTGGCATCCACGTGGTGGTGAGCAATGAGGTGAGCTGAGGTAGCGGTTCTCAGCCTGTGGAGCACTACCCCTCCATCAACCCTCTGTCTCCAAGAATATTTACATTACGATTCATAATGGTAGCAAAGTTACGGTTATAAAGTGGCGATGAAATAATTTCGTGGTGGGGGTCACCACAGCACGAGGAACTGTATTAAGGGGTCACAGCATTAGGAAGATCGAGAGCCCCATAGAGTCTACTGACGCCACAAGAGCCACACCACCAAAAAGTCTTCTCTCCGAAGCTGTATAGATGGAGTCTCTCTTGCAGTTAACCTTGCAAACTGATTGCATAAACCTGGGAGGGAGGTGTAGGAAGAATCAGCTTCCTGTGAGGAGCCGAGAACCCTCCTCCTGCCCTCCCTCCATAAGGGACTGGCAACAAGCCCCATAATTAAAAACATTTTTGTTACATTTATTTACTTATTTTGTGAGGGGTGGTAGGTGGGTGCGTGGGTGCATGGGTGCTACTGCACGCAGGCACGCAGGCACGCAGGCACGCAGGCACGCAGGCACGCAGGCACGCAGGAGGACTTGCAGGAGTCAGTTCTCTCCTTCCACCATGTGGGACTAGACATCAGACCTGGGGCAGGCAAGTTATTAGCTTGGCCATCTCCATGGCCCAACAGGCTCGTTCTTAAGGGTCCCTTGTGGGTAGTCATAGCTGCTGTGACTAAGGTGGTAATGGCTGTTACACTCAGAGGACAGCTTTCTTTATGTGCCTTGGGGCACGTGTACAGTCAGAGGAATGTGTCACCCATCAAGTAGGGAGCAAGTCCGCAGAGGCCGGTAGTTAAAGGAGGGCAGGGGTGGCCCCTGGGAGACACTAGCAAGGCCTCCTTCAGCGATGAAGGTACACACCACTGAATCGGTGCTCAACATAATCCCGTGGAAGGAATGTGGAACTAGCTGCTAGCGCGAGGTCCAGGAAGTGACAGAGCCCTGTTGGAACCTCGTCCCAGCCCTTTGGGGAGTGATGTGTTGAGGAGCAGACTTGCCTACCAAATTGGGCATCACTTACCCATGATGGAACAGGTGATCTTAAGCTCATGTCCTGGACCTTCCTTCCACTGACTGGTATTGTATCGGTTAGCTCTCGGGCACTGTAACGAATGTGTGGGATCATGAACTTAAGAAGAGAGGTTCAGTCTGGGCAAGAGCTCACCTTCCTTGAAAGTGTGAGCACCCGGGTTCAATCTTCCGAACCCATCCATGTCAAAGCCGACATGGTGGTATACCTCAGTGTAATCTCAGTGTTGGAGAGAAGGTATACACACACACACACACACACACACACACACACACACACACACACACACACACGTGACTGCCTTACATTTGAGCGATTTTGGTCCATCATCAGTTTCCTATTGTTTAGGGGCTGGTGGTGAGATAGCCCATCGTGGCAGGAGAGTGGCTGAGCAAACTGTTCTCACTATGGCCAAGAAGGAAGGGGGTGGGGTGGGGTGCTAAGGTCCCACTTTCCCCTTCAGTACTAACCCTGGTGACCTAACTTCTTTTTATTGGGCCCATGGAATCACAGAGTGCTGGAATTACACCTCTGTACCATATCACACCTGGTTTAGGCAGCCCTGGAAACGGGACCCAGGGCTTTGTACATGCTAGCTAAGCATGCATTCTAGCAATGGAGCCACGTCCTCAGGCCCCGGAGCATTTCTCTTTGAGAAGATACAAACCATGAATGTATGTGCCTTGCGACTTCCCAGGTCCCTGAGGAAGTCCCTCCCCCATTTGCCCTGTGCCCTCAACAACAGGCAGTTAGCGAGCGAGCGAGGCAGAGAGCAGACCTCGAATGCCACCTTGGCTAAGTAGGCCATTCTCATTCCCCCAAGTCTCCTTCCCACTCAACCCGAATCAATTTGGAAACCTTCGGCTGGCTCAGAATTACCCAGCGCTCTGGAGGCAGCCTGGCCAGCAAGGAGCCAGCCCCTGGGGTGCAAGGGCACTCAATTAAACAAGGGAGTTACTGATTAAGCCCTTGTGGGCCCTGCTTAGGGCTTTTCATGCCCAAGTGGCTGGGCGGCCAAGAGTCCGAGCTGGAGCAGGCTGAGGTATAGAATAAATGTACTTCATGCACCATTAGGCTCTGCAGGGAGGGTCAGGGTCGACAGGTGGGTGCATTTGTAGGATTTGAGGCAGTAGTCCAGAGCAGGCAATAAAAAGTCGGCTGCTTTTTTTTTTTTTTTTTTAATTGAAAGGGGCTTTGCTTACCCTGTTGGGTTTGGCATGCATGCTTGTGTTTATATTTTAACTGTTTCTGAAGTGTATATTAGGAAATGCAGCCTACACGTAAAGATTTATAAAATTAATGTACGTTTTGTTTTTAAATCTGATTGTGCGTGTGTGTGTGTGTGTGTGTGTGTGTGTGCGCGCGCGCGCGCGCGCGCGCGCGCATGTGCACGCACGCACTGTAGTATATGTGTGGAGACCATAGGACAATGTGTGTGCATGGTTTTTCTCCTTCCTCTGTGGGTTCTGTAAATCAAACTCAGGTCTTCAGGCTCACATAGCAAGTGCTTCTACCTGCTGACCCACCTCACTGGCCCTGACTCACACATTTTACTAGGTTTTCAGGTCCTTGTACCCAGTTTACTAGACTGTAATGGTTATAACCCCCTTGGCAGGCTTGCACCATCTTTGACCCTTGCTGTTCATGTGTCTTTTATAATAATCATCTTTTTCTTTTCTCCCTAACACATTAGGGGTGGGAGCAGTACACATGTGTGCTTGTGGAGACTGGAAGATAGTCTTTGTCTGTTGCCCCTCAGGCACCGCCCACCATGGCTTTTAAGACAGGGCCTCTTTGTGTCCTAGAGCTGGCCGAGTAGGCTGTGATGGCTGCTCAGGGAACCTCAGCAATCCTCTTGTCTCTCTCTGCCCAGCCTGGAGTTACAAGCCCACAGCATCATGCCTGTTTCATTTGATTGGCTTTTGACCTGGGTTCTGGGGGTCAAACTCAGCTTTCCATGGCTGCAAAGCATTGTGCTACCAACCAGCCATCTCCTCAGCCCAGTAGGCCCCTTTCTTCTGCCTACTTTAAAACTTAGAGGTGTGGAATAGCCATGCATTTCTCCAGGGCCCCCTTTTTCCCCTCCACCATGGTTTTGATTCATGAATGCTGATGTGTGCCACTGAGGGTCACTATACCTCTGAGCGCCATGAATGATTAGGTCCCAGTTGGCTCCCTCTCCTGCCGCTGACAATGTTGGGTATGGTATGAGCTTTATGTGACCAATGTTCTTCAGCATGTCTTGAGGGCGCACATGCCTTGCAGGAGAACCCCAGGGGTGACTTCCAGTAGATGAGTTTTCTAAAGGTTTGTCACCCCCTGGAGGTGCTGGTTCCCTTGTATATCCTGGTTACATTTTATCATCATGATGCTCCATTTTGCAGGTGGCGCCACGAAGCCAGAAAATTCTTTTTTTCTCATGATTACTGGTTAGAAATCACAGTGAGAGCTTGGGATAGGTGGCTGTGGGTCATCTTTCTTGTGCATGTGGGGAGTAGCAGCCCCTTTCTGTTGGTCTTTGCAAGCCACTGACACACACTTCAGTTAATCACTGTTGGTTGCTTTCTTGTTACCATAATAAAATATGGGACAAGAACCGATGCAAGGGAGGAGGGTTTATTGTGCCATCGAGCTGGGGAAAGCGTGGCAGCAGGAGCCGGGGAGGGAGCAGAGTGACCAGGAAGTGGTGTCTAGCCATAAACACTCAGGACCCACCCATTGACCCCCTTCCTCTAACAAGGTTCTACCTCCTGAAGGTTCCGCAACTTTCCCAACTGGTGCCACCAGCCCTGGACTGAGTGTTCAAAGACATGGGTCTATGGAGGATATTTTTCATTCAGGCACAATTGTTTTGTTTAAAAACATGTTCCAGTCATGAGCCTCTTGAATGATGAGAATGCTTCGCTGGGTGATTTCATCCAGGGTTGCTGGAAACACCCCGGCTTACAGGCACTTGGAACCTGGATGGTGCATGCCAGTCACTAGACATGGCACTGATGCCACCGATGCAGTCAAGTGACCTGGTGTGTGAGCACACGCTGAAATAATAGCACCAAGGATGGTGTGGCAAGTGTGCAGATCGGGAGTGGTGTGTGCTGTGAGTCATCTTCTGCACCGTACTGGCCACATAGTGGAGTGTTTACAGTGTCACCACAGACATGAGGGATGTCAACAGGGTGGCAGGGCCACCAGCAGTGAGAATTCTTCAGCTCCACCAGTTGTACATGTGTCCTATGGTTGACCAAAATGGAACATCTGCGGTATGTGACTTGATTTTTCTTGTTTGTTTTTGAGACAGAGTCTCACTGTGTAGCCTTGGTGTGCCTGGAACTAGCTGTGTAGACCAGGCTAGCTTCAAACTCATAGGGATCTACCTGCCTCTGGTGCCTGTGGGCATGTGGAGGACAAAGGAGAGCCTGTTGCCGTGGCTTCCATGCCGTCCTCATGCTCACGCAGCGATCACTGACCGGGCCGTCTCTCCAACCCCTCCAGCCTTGCAACGATATGACGACACCATTGAGAAAAACATGGCTCTCTTTTGCCTTTCAGATGGTTCAGAATTTTGAAGATGAGTCTTGTTTTATCCTCAGCACATTAAAAGGTAAGCCCCCACCCCCACCCCTCCCCCACCCCCCGCCTTCCTGATTGAAGTGTGTGTCTGTGAACCCCGCCGTCATAGGCTGGTGGGTGGCAGGTGGGATCTTCCTGGACAGGGTCCCTCCAGAAGATGCTGAACTTGGAGCAACCTCTGGGAGCAAGAAAAGCCAAGCTTTCTCATCCCTAGTCCTAGCCATGCCAGAATGAGTGCCATCTTCAGGGAAGCAGCAGGCCCCGGGCATTTGTTCTCCATGACCTTGGCTTTCATAGGTCTCTGGGCAGCCCAAGCAAGGACTGCAATGCCCAGCAGGGTGAATCAGGGGCTTAGAGGATCCATCTGAGCCAGATGTCTTGAGAGAATGACAGGATGCCTATACTCTGCTGAGAGTAAGCCTGCATACCAAGTCATGTTAATTTGCGCAAGGCAGAGAAAGGCCAGCTGTGAGGTTTCTTGGCTGGGAGGATCAATGGATGGGCTTCATTAGAACAGAAGACTGGAGCCTGGAAGGAGGCTCAGTGGATGACAGCACATACTGCTGTGGCAGAGAATCCAAGTTTGGCTCCCAGCACCCACGTCTGGTGGTTCACAACCACTTGTAACTCCCGCTTCATGGGACCCAAAGCCTGCTTCTGGCTCTCCAGGCATTCATTCATTTGCACATACACATACATAACATAATTAAGACTAAAATAAGACTTAAAGAAAATAAAGAATAGGAGACTGGGTTTCAGACTCTGCTGTGACCACTTCCTGTCCCATTCTGTGAATCTAGGTTATGTTAGTTAGCTTTCTGTTACTGTAACAATGCCTGAGATAACCAAAATGAAGGTGGGTTGGTTTGGGCTCAGTTCTGGAGGTTTTAGTCCATGGCCGATGGGGCCCATAGCAGCAAGGCAGCGTGTGATGGTGTGAGTGTGGTGAACTGCTCTGTTCACTGCAGAACAGCTGGGGAGTGAGTGAAGAGGAAGAGCTAAGACTGGGCGTTCCCTATTCCCTCGGGGACATGCCTTCTTTGATGTCACCTTCTCCCGCTAGGCTCCATCCCTTCATGGTCCCACCGTCACTCACTATTACCATAGGCTGGAGACTGAACCTTTCACAACGTGGGCCTTATCCTAAATAGAGCACAGAGAACGCCTCTTACAGGCCTCTGAGTGGAGCCACAGCATCGGAGAAAGCCATCGTTTGCCTGTCCTCCTTGGGTTACGGTGAAAAGGCTCATCGTAGAAACCAGGGTGCCTGGGAAGATCAGTACAGTGCTTGCCATGCCAGCATGAAGACCCGAGTTCAGTCTTCAGAGTCCATGTTTGTTTGTTCTTTAAAAAGCTGGACATTGGTGGTGCGTGCCTTTATTCGATCCCAGCACCGGTGAGACAGGGGTGGACTCCTGAGGCTCTTAGGCCAGCCAGCCCAGCTTCCTTGCTGAGCTGCAGACCAATGAGAGACCCTGTCCCAAAACCCAAGATGGATAACTCCTAAGGAATGATACCTGAGGTTGTCCTATGGCCTTTGTGAGCGCAGAGTAATTACATAAGGCAGATGCCAAAACCTGGCTAGCATCTCTGCTTGTATAAACATGCTCTTCTTTATGTAGCTATGTAAGTGGTTTCGCTTCTGTCTTAATACATGCTTTTGGGGGACACCTCGACCCCGCTGCACCTCCTCTCTTCCTCTCACACATGCCCATGCCCTGTGTTTCTCTTGCAGCAGAGAGCAATGACGGCTACCACATCATCCTCAAGTGTGGACTCTGAGCAGCTGAGACCTGCGCCTGTCCCCACCCCACGCATCCCCGGCTGTAGACGTTGCACCCACTGTTGGCCGCTGTTTCACCTAACAAGCTCAGACCAGGAAAGCCAGCGACAGCCACGGACACAGAGTCTGGCCTGCGGAACGCCAGCGGTTCCCTTCTCTCTCCTCTTGGCTTTCCGCTTTTTAACGGTTCCTTGTTCTGTTTCCCAGGCAGACGGTGGGGACATACATCTCTTAAACCCCGAACCTGTGGTTGGAGGCTCCTTAGTTGGTCCCTCCTGACTACTCTCTTTGCCTCACCCTGTTCTGCACCTCCTTCCTGGGCCACTGGCTTCATGGCTAGCTCTGCCAGCCTGACGGGGACACCTCCAGCTCTCCTCTAGTACTCGCTCCCCTTCTCACGGACCTGGTGGCAGCCTCTCTCCTGTTCTTGGATGAATTACTAGGACTGGGGCTATTTATTTTGTGCCTTCCGCCTCTCCCTCAGTTGCCTTGATTCTAAGGAGCTGCCACATTCAAGCCTGGAGGTGTGTGCATGTCTGCCTTGACACGGTTGATGCCACAGTACGCCAGTGTGACCTCATGGTCATTGTATTAGTTATTCTTCTGTAGTGTGATAAGATAACCCGATAAAAGCAACTAAGTGGAGACAGGGCTTGTCTGGGCTTCTAGAGTTGAGGAGGGATAGATTCTATTATGGTGAGGAAGGTGTACTATGGAAAGCTGGTTGAACTCATTTTCATATACATAGGACGCAGAGAGAGAATGCACATGAACCAGAAGTGGTGCAAGCTTTCAAGCCCTCAGTGACCACCCCCCGTGGTAAACTTCCCCCAGCAAGACTGCATCTTCTAAAGGTCCCATAACCTCCACAGACAGTACCACCAGCTGGGACAACACGTGCAAATAAATACACGAACCTATGGGATACATTTGTCATTCAAACCATGCATTTTGCCCCTGTGTGACCTCTCATAGCTGCTAATTGGGGTGGCAATGGACTGGAAGATGGCGTGGAACCTCCTCACCAGGGAAGAGGGATGAGAACAAAATGATTCCTCTCGGGCTATTGCAGTGTAATCTCAGTGAGTAAAGAGTACTGAGGAGGTGAGGATTGCATTGGATCTAGTGGCCTTGACCATTAATTTAGAGCTTTAGGTTGGGGGTGTGGCTCAGCAAACCCCTTGCCTGGCAAGTGTGAGGTACTGGGTACCATCCCGGTCCTGCAGCAGGAGGGATTTATGGAATTCCCTTTTTGAGACAACTTTGGTTAACCAAGCTGTTTGCCAAGTCTCCTGGGGGAAGTGTATTCTCTGCAGTGCTCTCATGTAAGAGTCTGGCTTTCCCAATTGTAGGTGTACTTTGTCTTGTTGGTATGGTTGAATCACCTTTTTTCTTGGATCTCGCTCTGTAGACCAGGCTGGCCTCGAACTTACAGAGATCCACCTGGCCCTGGCTCTGCCTCCTGAGTGCTGGGATCAAAGGTGTGCACCACTGACGCCCAGCTGAATCACCTTTTTTAACTATGGGGAAATTTGAGGATCAGTAGCTGTGGTAGACCCAAGAATTCATCTTCATTTTGCCAGGGATCTATGCTGGCCCAAGGCTTCAACTCCTTCCTAGTCTAAGTTCCCCCAAAACATGGTGAGCCCTCTGATCACCAGAGCTTTTGTGGGATATTCTAGACTTAAAGAGCATCAGGCTTTGGCAAACATTATTTTACAGGCAGAGAAACTGTTCCTACAGTGAGGCTGGGCTCTCAGTTCCTTGACTTCTGGGAGTGTGTGGGTGGGGCTGACAGCTTGATTCAGATGTTGGTGCTGTGACCATATTGGCACAGACTTTCGTGTGGACAGGGTTTCATTTTGGGAATGTGGCTGGGAGTAGAGTGGATAGTTCTTAAAATAACTTCACCTCTTTGAGGAACTGCCCTGTGTTTCCCACATTGCTACTGCACCTGTTTACGGTCCCACGAGTAATGGAGGACGGTTCTAGTTTCTCTGCTTCACCAACATTTGCTGTGATCTCTCTCTATCTCTCCCTCCCTCCCTCCCTCCCTGCCTCCCTCCCTCCCTCCTCCTCCTCCTCCTCCTCCTCCTCCTCTCCATGTTGTCCAGTCTGGCCTCCAGGTCGCTAGGTAGAAGAGGTTGATGGACCTTCCGGTCCTCTACCTCTGTTTTCTGAGTGCTAAGAACACAGAGAAGTACCTCCACCCTAGTGTCTGCCCTGCTGGGACAGAAGCCAGGGCTTTGTGCTTGGAGGGAAGTGCTCTACCCACTGAGCTCCTCCCCTTGTGTTGATCGGTCTTTTGTGTCACAGTGTCCTGCGGTGTCCTGCATTTCTCTGATGGCCAGTGATGTTCAACGGTCCTGTCACATGTTGATTGGCCATTTGTATGTCTTTGGGGAAGTGTCTGTTCAGGGCCTCTGCCCCTTTTTAAATTGTGCTATATCTTTTCATCGAGTTGTCCAAGTTGTTGGTAAATTCTAGGTGAAGTCCTCTACCAGTTTGTCTCCGTTTTGTAGATTGTCTTCACCCTCTTAATGGTGGCCCTTGATGTGTACAAGTTGAACCTGGCTGAGCTTGGTGGTATGCACCAGCACTCCGGTATGCAGAAGGCTGAGGCTTCCAAGTCGAAGGGCAGCCCAGCCTACATAGTGAGACCCTGTCTCAAAAACTATCATTATTATTACTTTCATTTGGGTGATGACTGATCTACCTACTACTCCTGACGTGCTTTTGATGTGGATTCTAAGAAACCATGATCTAACACAAACTCAGGAAAATCAATGTCTGTTTTGTCTTAAGAATTTGTGAAGTAGCCGGGCGGTGGTGGCGCACGCCTTTAATCCCAGCACTCGGGAGGCAGAGCCAGGCGGATCTCTGTGAGTTCGAGGCCAGCCTGGGCTACCAAGTGAGCTCCAGGAAAGGCGCAAAGCTACACAGAGAAACCCTGTCTCGAAAAACCAAAAAAAAAAACCCTTTCTCAAAAAAAAAAAAAAAAAAAAAAAAAAAAAAAAAAAGAATTTGTGAAGTTTTAGTTGTTACAATGTTCTCTGCTCCAGTTTAAGTTGGTTTTACATGTATGGTGTGTAGATGGGGGGGTCCAATTCCATCCTTTTGCATGTGAGTGTCTGCTTTTTTACCCCTAATTACTGAAAGGCCTGGCCTTTGCCATGCCTGGTCACTTTTGCTGGAAGCCTCTGATTCCTGGATTTCTCTGGGATGGAATTGTAGTCGCTGCCGATCTCTTGTTTCTTCCCCCTTCTCAGTCTGCATCTGCGTCTGCTGATCTTCCATCACCTCCCCACTCTGGCCCTGCACTCTCTCTGTCTCCTGTCGGCAGGACTGGGTGACACTGCTCTGTCCTGCCATCTTTTCTGGTACATGACCTACCACTTCCTAGTTCTAGAGGAAGATCACGCCCAAGCGTTTCCATGTTTCCATGTTTGCATCGAGAGGCAACTGAGTCACTTAGAGGAATTTGCTCAGGGTCAGTCACGGGAAGGAGCAGAACTAGGTTTTGGGCCTCTGACTTTCAGCCCATCGAGTGTCTGTGGCCACCGTCCCCAAGTGATGGCTCCACATGGGCCGTGTGAGCAGAGACTAAACTTTAATTCTAAGGAATGGGCGTGTTGATACCTTTCTTTCTCGGTTCCAAATCGAGAGCAAAAGATGGCATGTCTTAGAAGGGCCAGATGGCGTGGGAAGTCCCAAGTCTTGCCTTGGGGTCTGTATTAGTTATTTTTTCTCATGGTTGTGACAAAACGTTATGACAAAAAAAAAAAAAGCAACAGAAAGGAGGACAGGTTTTCTGGCTCACAGTCTGGGGGGGTGCGGCCCATCATGGCAGGGAAGGTATCGGCAGGAGTGAGGCGCTGCTCACATGGCATCCACGTCAGGGAGCAGAGAGAGATGGATGCTGGGGTCCTCTTACCCTCTCCTTTTTTTTTTTGTTTTTTTTTTTTTTTTCGAGACAGGGTTTCTCGTTACCCTCTCCTTTTTATTCAGGGCAGAACTCCAGCCCATGAAACTTGAAGGTGGGTCTTCCCACCTCAAGTAGCTAATCTAGAAACTTCTTCACACACTTACCTGGAAGAGGAGCTACCATGACCAAGAAGATGGTTTTCCCAGGGGAGACTGCCTCTTTGCACTCTGGATGTGCTGGTTTCTGATGTCCCCCAAACACAGGAAACTTGACTGCATAATTTTTCTTGCCCTTGCTGAGTAAATGAAAAGAATACAAATGAAAACCTCTCACAGACATACCCGAAGGTTTGATTCCATGGTGATACAAAATCCCACCAAGTCCACAATCAAGATTAATCATCTTGGGGGTCTAGAAAAAGGTCAGACATTGCCCTAGTGACCTCTCACCCAGTCTGCCTGGAGCCTCTTGAGCAGAGCTATTAACCTAGAGCGATCTTTACAGGGAAAAAGCCGGAACCCACAAGCACGTCACCAGTTCCTAAGTCCAGTGTTGCTTCAGGGGCTGGCCCAAGCCGCTGAAGTTCTGAAAATCATTAACACGTCAGTGGGAGAAATAGAAAGGCTCTTTAGCTGCTGTCAGTGGAAAGTTGAGGTTGGTGGGGGCATGGGGAGTTGAACGTGGGCACTCTTAGGTACACTGGAGGGGCGGGAGCAAGAGTCAAGGGTCCCAGGCTGCATCACGAGTGACTGTGTCCCTTTAGTGGGAGCTGAGCAGTCTGTCCACTTGGTAGTGTCTGTCCCTAGGTTTGCCCCCCAGCACCGCCCCCAAAATGAAGTAAGCATTGACTTGGAGACCTCAGAACCTGGTCATGGCAGTCAGGAAGTGAATCTGAGCCATGGCAAGGCTTAGCCATTGTTTCCCAGTCATCAAAGTCTGGCAGTAGCTGGGTGACCCTGGCTTGTCCTGGGCATGCCCGGTGCCCCCAGGCCTTCCCTGCCATCTGCAGCTAGATGTGTGTGTGTGTCGGTGTGGGCATCAGTGGCACGCTGATCCATGCCGGTCTGCTTGGCCAGTATGGGAAGTTCATACATGTTCTCTTCTCCCCTTCCCTTCCAAAGACAGGGCCACCAGGCCGAGGACCAGTGAGATCCTGGGAAGCACCCTGGCTTCCTGTCCAAGGCCAGCTCCAACTATAAGCTCTCCAACCCCCACTGGGCTTGTGGAGGTTCTGCTGGGGTCCCCTCTAGGCGTTCCTGTCACTTTGCTCACAGACGCTGGCCTGGACCATCGGGCTGTTCTTAGGGCTAGTGTGGTGAGGTCCTGTGTCCCCTTCCTTCCTTCCAGGGAGCCACCCCGCACCCCGCGCTACATGTTCGCAAACGGGGACTGAATCCCGTGCTGTAAGTCTGGTTTTGCCATCAGTCGGATAACAGAGAACATTGTCTTCAAACCTAGTTTAGGAAATGATAGCCCTGCATCGACAATTATACTAAATTGCTATATTTTGAATTGCTTATGTTAAGTCATGCAGGACTGGGGTGTGGCTCGATGGCAGAGCACTTGCCAGCCATGATCGAGGCCCCGGGTTTGATCCCTAGCACCATAAACCATACATTGTGGAGAGCTGGATGTGGTGGTGCACACCTGTACCACCGACCCTGGTGGTGATGCTGGGGCTGGGTTTGAGGGCAGTTCTGGGCTATTTAAAAAAAAAAAAAAATGGAATTTCGTTTTCTCTCGTGCCAACATAATTTTACCTCTTGGCCCTTAAATACTGAAATATTTACTCCCCAACTTCTCCCTTTTATGTTTTTAATGTGTTGTATTTTATTTTGTAGCGATAGGGAACAAAGCTAGAACCTGGGGCCTCACACATTTGAGGCAGGTGTTCTACCACCACGCTAGCCCCTCAGCTCCTCAGATTGAACCCAGAACCCAGAGATCCTCAAGCATGCAAGGCCAACGCCCTGCTGCTGAGCTGCGCACCCGACCTCAGTTGCCTTCTCTCTCCTTCAGATTGTTTGAAGGCAGTCTCAGGTGTGACGGACTGTCTTCAATAACAAACGCATGTTGCATAAACTTAGAAGAAGAGGCTGTATTCAGAGAAGAAGTCTGGAATGCTCCTTGCCTTCTGGGTATCTCACTTCTGGAAAGTTCAGGTCCTCACTTGGCTCCCACGGACTCTGCCCAGCCTCTCCATGGGAGTACAGAGGTCTCTTCCTCAAATGCCCCCTGCTACTTGGAGCCCTGCTCGGCCTTTGTTATGGTCCCCTGGCCAGGGTTTGATAGAAGAAAGAACTTTGGTGCAGTATTCACGGGCTGCCGAGCTGTGGGGGGTGGCTGTGGCCTGAGCTGCTCACTGGAACCTGTCCTGGAAGGGATAGGCTGATTTGGGCTGGTGCCCTGACTAAAGCCCTGCATCGCACCCCTGGACTCTGCAGACCCTTCCCTTGTGTGCAGGGCTGTGAGTGCCCGGGCAGCTTCCTGCCTTCCTTGGACCCATGTTTCTAGGTCAGTTCTGGCAGGGCAGTGTTGTGTCCTTCAGGGATGCCCACCTCCCATGGCTTGTCTGTCACTCGTAGACCCCTCAGGTCTTCAGCAACCCCTCACAGGCAGCGGGCACTCATAACTGCCTCCCCTCTGCTCCACTTTGACAAACTTCATTGAGTTTTTCCCCAGGCTTCTAGCTGGGGAAACCATTGAAAAGTTAGGACAGACCAGGGTCCTTACACTACAGCAGGTTGAACATCCTGGTAACCAAATCCAAAATTCTGCACCAGGCCTCATGAGACAGGTCACATTCAAAACATGGATACACTACAAACAAAATTACCCTTGGGCCATGTGTACAGCATATGCAGAAACGTGACTGGGTTTTGTATTTAGATGTAAGTCCCATCCCCAAGATAAACATATTATGTATGTATCAGTAGCTCAAGATCTGAACCCACCCCTGATCTAGGGTTTGATCTGGGATGTGAAACCTGCAATGGATGGAGCCAGGATGAGTGGCATCCAGTCCTGGTCCCATCCAGGCCACACCTGTTAGGTCTGTGGGCAAGCTCAATTCCCATGTAGCTGTCCTGAAGCTTTGTCCCTGGGCTAGAGTATTAAACACAAGCATAGGGGGACTGTTTCATGCCCTGACCCGTCTCCTGGGTTATTGACTGTGTTCTTTTCTGTCCATGCTTTAAAGTGATTCTTTCCTGAGGTGTCCCTTCTTCCTCTACATCGGGTGATTATTTTCTAAAGGTGGTGGGGGATTTTGGGGGGTGGTCCAGATTGGTCAAATATGTGTGATAGGTCATGGGGAGGTGGCCATGGAAACTCAAGTTGTCATAATACCATGTTGTTTTTGTACCTGAAATAAAGCATATTTTGCACTTGTAAATGAGAAATCTGTATGTGGGTTCTGTGCTGGGTCAGAATGCAAATAAAACCATTTGTACTAAACCCCTGTGGCTGGGACCTCAAGTTGCTTTGTTTATTGAACTGTAGCGAATGAATTCACTATTGTGGAGTATTTGGAGACACAGCTCGGTAGCATTAGGTGCATTCTCAAGCTGCCCTGTGCTCCACCTTTAGTTCTTGCAGAACTGAAACTCTGTAGCTATTCCACAGGAGCTCCCCAGTTCCTTCCCCCAGCCCTTGGCAGCTACTGCCTACTTTGTGCCTGAATCTGTAAATGAGGAGCTTCATTTAAGTGAAATCCAGTATGTGTCTTGTGTAGGAGATGTATTAGGATCTCCTCCATCTTCAAAGCTGAGTGATGCTCGGTTGTGTGGCTGGACCATGTGTACATCTGTTCACTCTCAATGGACACAGGCGACTCTCACCCTTTGGGTATAGTCAATGACACTGCTCTGAATACGGGCTTTCCTACTCTTAATTCTTTTGGGTACAAATCCAGAAAATCCAGAAGTGAAAGTGTTAGATCATGTGGTATTCTGTTTAATTTTGCGGCCAGAGGTGGAAACCACCGCACATTCCCACCTGTACTGCTTAAGGTTCTGGTCTTAAACACTCTGTATAGTAAGGCTGACCTTAAACTTCTAACACACTGAACACCTGTAATCTCAGCAGCGAGGCATGGAGGATCAGAAGTTCAAGGTCATCCTTGAATGAGATACTGTCTCAAAAAGAAAAAAAAGTGACACCCACCCAGGGTCTCTGCAGAGTCACCTAAGGGCCCCACAGGCCTCCGATGTCCAAGGCTTGTCCCCAGCACTCCACTCCCCTATTACCTCCTGGGTCCTAGACCTGCTGTTGACCTTGCTGATGCCCCCACTCATGACTGGGAAGGCCTGTGACTTCTGCTGCCTCTGTGTCCCTGCGACACACGTCTCTTTACCCTCTCAGAGAGATGTGGAGCTTGCAGAGCTAGCTTGGGAAGGCCTGGTTTAGACACCGTGAGGTATGTCCTCTAGTCTCCTTAAATCTTAAGCCTGCTGTTTTATTACACTTATAAATTTTTAAATGAAGACTGCTAATTTCTGCTTCAGACCAATGCATGAAGATAAGTTATTTCACTCTGGCACTTTGACCTGGGGTTCCCAATATGACTGTGGTTACTCTATAGAAAACTTCTCTTCCTGGGGCTGGGGACATAGTTCAGCAATAAAGTGTTTGCCATTTGAGGAGAACCAGAATTTGATCCACTGGAACCTCATGAAAAGAAAAAAAAGCCAGGGGTAGTGTCTCAGTCCTGTAATCCCAGCATTGAGGAAGTGGAGGCCAGGAAGTAGAGGGTGCTCGCTAGTTCAACCAGTGAGCTCCAAGTTCAGTGAGAGAAACCGTTTCAACAAACTAGGGAAGCTGAGTGTGGTGGCGTATGCCTTTAACCCCCGCACTTGAGACAGGAAGCCAGGGGCAGGTGGACCTCGAGTTTGAGCCAGGCTGGTCTACGTAGCTAGGGAGTCCAGGACAGCAAGGGCTCCGTGGAGATACCCTGTCTCAAGAAACAACAACAACAAAAATTAGGTAAAGAAAGAGAGAGTAGGACCCCCAGAATTGACCTCTGGCCTTTACAAGTGCACACACACACACACACACACACACACACACACACACACACACACTAGTGCACACATGCACATGTGTGTATACCCACACATATACACATGTGAGGATGAGAGAGAGAGGGAAGAGAACTTAACAGGAAGGATGAAAACAAGAAAATTGCCAATGCTGAGTGCACTGGTTCTGCCTTGCTGCATCCTGAGTCTGGTACCAAGGTCCACGGCACCTCCATTTAGGTACCATAATCAGGCCTTTACAAAAAGAGGTTGAGGCTGGGTCCACTTGGTAGAGCGCTTGCTGAGCATGTTCAGAGCCCTGAGTTTGATCCTCAGCACTGCATGAACTGGGCATGGTCATACATGCCTGTAATCCCAAAACTTGATAAAGGCAAAAGGATCAGCCGTTCATTCTCGGCTACACAGAGAGTTCAAGGCCAACCTGGGTCACCTGAGACCCTGTTCAAGCAACAACAAAACCAAGGCAATTCTTCCTTGGGGAGCCC